CCGCAAACTGGCAGCTGCTCCCGCTCAGGAGGAAATCTGACGCCCCGCGCCGCGCCGCGCCTTCCGTTACAGTACGCAACTTTCCTTACTTGTCCGCGAAAGAGGGGGGATAGCTTTTTCATTCATTCATTCGGCATAGAGCAGGGGTGTCCAACTTGCAAGCCTTCAACGGTGAAATCTTTAGTATGGTTGAGGGCCATATTTTCGTTACTCTGGCAATCCACACTTGACTTCACCGTAATGTTGATCTCCCGGCTGCACTGAAATGGGAGTGGGGGGGGATGGTACCATCCGTGATATCAGGTCGTACCATACATATCGCGGTGAATCAAATTGGGGTAATTTTTAATTTCTGAAATTACTAAAAAAATAAATTCCTTAAATAAAAACTTCACTTGTTTCTACATTAAAGGGGGGAGCTGATCCCAGCAAGACGCGTGCGCTAGGGGCACAATGCTCTCGCCCGCCATGGATGAAGGTGTTTCAGGCTGTCTTACGTAACAAGGCCTCAACGCTGCCTAGAATGTATACTTGTCGAGCTCCTCTGAACAAAAATCTTCGTTACACCACTGCTCGCGCCCGATGAACACAAACGAACGACGTAGGAGTCGGTGTTTTCGATTACAATTTATGTGGACACTATAAAAACAACGATAAAATCACATTTTTTAATTACTTTTAAAAAACCTTATGTTCTTATGACACATTATCACATCCTAAGATTATTTTTTTTCGGAAGGGAGCCACACTCGATTGAGAGATAGGTCAATCGAAAGATTGAGCAATACTATCACCCGTTTGGAATACAAATTCTTTAAGGTGGCTTCGGCCGTCCAACTCCCTTTGCTTTATCGAAATAATTAAAAAAAGGAAATTACATTAAATCGAAATAATATAATTAATGTTTTAATTATATGAAGTGACAAATTATTTATATGTTAAACATTCTTAATAGTATTTTCCATAATTAAAATAAGAGGGATTGCATCATCATTGACACAGTGAGGTGAGACAAGTTATAGGACACCTTCAAGTCATGGGATATTTTTTCGGACGTCCTTTTGCCTGGCGAAGTGCACCAACTCGACGTGCCACGGACACAACACGTAATTGGAAGTCCCGTGCAGAAACATTGAGCCATGCTGCCTCAATATCCATCCATAATTGCGAAAGTGTAGCCGGTGGAAGATTTTGTACATAATTGATATTTCAATTATGTCAACTTAATGTTCGATGAGATTCATACAGGGTGAACCGTGTAGCCAAATCATTTGCTAGAGTTGTCCAAAATGTTCTTCAAATCAATCGTGAACAACTGTGGCCCGGTGAGATGGTGCCTTATTATCCATAAAAATCCATTGTTTGTGAACATGAAGTCCATGAATGATTTCAAATTGTCTCCAAGTAGCTAAACATGTTCATTTACAGTGAATGATCAGTTCAGTTGGACCAGAGGACCCAATCCATTCCACATTAACACAGTCCACACCATTATGGAGGCACCACCAGCTTGAACAGTACCTGGATGACAACTTGGGTCCATGGCTTCGTGGGGTCTGTGCAACATTCGAAACCTACCATCACCTCTTACGAGTACCAACTAAAATCTTGACTCATTTGACCAAGCCACATCTAGGGTCCAATCGATAATGTCACGAGCCCAGGAGAGGCACTGCAGGCGGTGACGGGCTCTTAGCAAAGGCACTCAGGTAGGTCTTCTGCTGCCATGACCCATTACAGCCAAATTTCGCCGCCCTGTTCTAACGAATACGTTCGTAGTACACAGCGCTGCTTGTGTGCTAGCACCGACAACACTACGGAAGCGCCGCTGCTCCAGGTCATTAAATGAAGGCTGTCGGCCACTGCGTTCTCCTTGGTCAGAGAAATTAGGTACTCTCGACACACTCCTGAGACTGTGAAGCTCGGAATATGGAATTTCGAAAGATTTCCGAAATGGAGAGCCCCACCCGTCTAGCTCCAACTACCATTCCGCATTAAGTCTGTTAACCTCAAAAATATTGTTTCATATTGATCAATACTAATTCTCCAAGACTAGAGAAATCAAAGGTTTACAAATTCTGGAACGGTATCACTATTAACTGTGAACATAGATTTGAACATGTTTCTGAAAATCTAACTGAAATTTTTTTTTATCAAGATCTGTACATGCATGTTGTAATTGCCTGCAGCAGGAAATCCTGTTGTCCACTTTAACAGGTATTGTTTTTTACTCATATGCCAGATGATTGATCGATATTGAGTTTTAATAAACTCACATGTAAAGGTTTGTAAAATGATTCATTGAGCTTTTAACGAAAAGAACTCGATATCTTTGATTTACTAACTATAACATCACATTCACATCAAAGACTATGAAACAACTGTTTGCAATAAATGGATTGCAACTCGCGTCTCAAAACGAAGCAAGACCAATAATTATTACTAAAAAAACTTGTATTAAGATCAATGATAACACCTAGGGCATTACCTTTCATTTAAAGACAAAAATCACGGAATTATGTTAAATGGAAAGCTACATTCCTCTAAACGAAAACATATTGTGTTCTACATTTCTATATTTTCTTATAAGAGTTGATATAACTTAATATCTAAACAAATAACAAGAGTTTAATTTTACTTACCCTTTACTGTTTTCCATCGATTCACACATTCCGAATACGGCATTTATTTCAGTACTTACGATCTTCACAATTTTTTCCAATGAGAAAAAATAAATACTTTACTAAAACGTCGTTAGAACGTCCGAAACGACGTTATGTCGTATGTTAGATAAGCTTCTTTTGAAGTCGTTTCGGACGTATAACATAAAACGACGTCTCAGTAAAGTATCCATTCAAAACAGTTAACCGCATTCTCTCATGCACTTCCGTGAGAATTGCAATGCATTCAATTGCTCAAAACCTGCAGGAGGTGTTAAAGTTACGTGACTCACCCTATTAACTATTACTTGAATTTTGGTCATGGGTGCAAATTTGGTCCTGGCATTCCTGAGTATCTCTTGCTTATGGAATTAAAATAAACGAGAGTTCACGATACATCTGATCAAGAGTACACAGTTCATATGAAGGGCATCTTTGAGAAGTCATTTATTGTTTTCCATCAACACAGAGCACATGCTATATAGGCTCTAAATAACAAGTCATTTAGAACACTGTTTTCTAAGTTTCACTGTAAGCATATTGTGCGAATCCCAAAATATGCTCAGGGATGAACTGACGAAGGCAATGTTACAACAAAGTGTATATACAGATTTTTCTTTCAATCAATGTGAAGACTGAATTTTAAAGTCTTTATAGTATTCTTATACTTCAAGTTAAATTAATTGTGTACATATTAATACATTATAATGAAAAATAAAATAAAAACAATTTTCAACAAAAATAATTATCACCATTATAACAAAAAAAGTTATGCCACTTTCAAGAAAATATGATTTCTGAGGAAAATGGTATTTTGGATATGATAGATTCATAACTCATGTTAGTCTAGATCATTTGTTTTATGTAAACTCTACAAATGTTAATTTACTTAGCACCAAGATACAGCGCTGCAAAAGCTTGGGATAAGGTGACTTGAAAGCAAAAACACAAAGAAAATCAATAGTTTATTACAAACGGTCTTATGGAGGTAACCGATAAGTGAAGGTCACAAATGATGAGAATTAACTCAAATTCCAGCTCTGTTAAAATTCATCCAAATCATCTAAAGAAAAGAATATTTACAACATTTGTTCTTGGTTCATGGTGAGGATGTCTTACCCAATTAGCTCTAAACAGCACAAGAGGCAAGAAGCGTTTCGGCCGCGCACCCGCAGCGCGGCGCCAGCGGCCGCAGGCGAGGGCGGAGGTCGCGGCGGCGGGGGCGGGTGCGGGTGCAGGGCGAGTGATCCTGCGGGCGTCTACGAGGAGCGAAGGCGGGCGGGCAGGCGTCGCGTCGGCGGCGAAGGGAGCTGGTCGTGTGGGTGGAGGAGGAGGAGGGAGCGGGACGGGGCTGTGGGCACAGCGACACAACACACAACACGTTCTCATCACCAGACGCAAGACTCTTGCTCTTTATTTCCTTTCACGCGCGACAGCGTTGCTTCATAACAACAACAGTACATCATGGGGGGTTACATCAGAGAAGGTCCAGCACCAGTGCAGCCACCTCCACAGTAGGCATCGGGACAGTAAGGAAGAACATCCACAAGACAGCAGTTCAACGACAATCGACCCAATCAACTGCAGCTCACTCCTCGCACACACGCAACAGGTTAAATATATAATATATCATTTAGTTAAATATATAATTCGTAATTTGTTTATGCGTCCTTCACAATCTAGTAGCAATGTACAAAACATGGAACATCCATCAAAGAGAAAAATCGAAAAAACCGCGCCTCGCTGGCGCGGGGGCCGACAGGCGCGGGCGGGCGCGTGCGATGACGGCGCGGGGTTTGGCAGCCCTGGCGGCGGCTGTGGCGGCGGGGCGCCC